AAAAAAAGTTATCTTCTATACCATGGCCAACCTAAAAATGTAAACAAACCAATCAGCTGATAGTATATATCAATATTTCGAGTATCGCTTTAATTTTGTTCTGTGGTATGACTGACGACTGGGCTGTTTGTTTTGATTATAGTTTAATGACGAATGAAAGATTAGTGCGCACAAAAACATCGTAAAAAACTGTTTTGATTATTATTTATTGTTTACAAATGCAGAAAATGTTTTAATCAATCCTATCTTAAATCCAATCTTCATGATTCAATATTCTGTCGTAAGTACTAGATTGTTTGAGGCTTCTAACAAGCCGTAGGTGAGGAAAACGATTCTAGAGTGTCGCTTGGACCGAGAAAACAATTGCGCATTTAGCGATTTTCACCAGGCGTAAGTAAAACGATGACACCTAAAACTCCTGTAAAATGTATTCAGGATATTTATTTGAAGTGTATGGGTTTATTGTTTCAATAGGATGAGAAAATGGCAACTCTGCTAGAAAATACAAAAGGGATGACAGATACCGAAACTCATCTGTTGTCTTTTAGCCTCGACAATTTGGAGATCGACCCCACCAGGTATATATTGTAATAGTACAGCTGATTTTCCGGAAATGTCTCTTTTTATTTTGTTTATTTACATGCATTCAATATTAGAAGAGTTGTTGGATAAATAATATTTTGTATATTACTTATTGCCTTATTTTTACATAATTCACAGATGTTAATAAGTTTTTATGGTTTTATCAGATTAGTGTGTTTACTTTGGTTCATTTAAATAAATGATTTTGACATTAGTATTATTATTGTATTATGATGGCCAATGGGTGGGAGAAACATTACCAATCAGTTTCTTTGTGAAAGTAGAAAAATGATGGGACACAAATAAAAACATTATTTTTTAATTATTGCCAAAGGTTTGAATTAGTCTATAACCAAAATATATTTATTGATTATGTGTAAATAATTATATTTGTATAAATATAGTAAAATTAAAAATAAAAACTTCCCATAACTTCATGAAGCTTATAAATTTAAAAGTATTATTTAGGTAAATAATGTTGATAATTTTTATGAATTTAACATAAATCTTATTTTAATTCAATTCTGGTTTATTTAAATCAAGCTTATAAACAAAAAAAAAATATGTTAATTAAAAAATAATTGACAATTGTATTTAGGTACCTATGCAATCGATGTATTAATAAAATATTATAAAATAAAAATTGATTATACTTTTAGGCCTCACAAGTATCCTGGAAATATTGTGGAAAAAGACAATGACAGTAAAGAACCATATCCAACTGGTTGTGTAATATGCCGTTGTATGAATACAAAATCTCTAACCTGTGCATATCCTCAAAAACAAAATACTGAATTGCCATCAAAAGATTGCATACTAAGGCCTCCTAAGTTAAACAGAGTAGAGAGATGTAAGCAACAATATGCAGCTGCATCTCCTGTACCTGTCAATCGAAGGTTTAACCGTAAACAATTAAATCGAAAATGGTCAACTGATGATGAATTTTTATCAGAGTTAACACTAAACAATAACAACAATAGTAATGAATGTACTAATGTCATACCATGCACTGATGATGTAACAATTGATGAGTTGGCCAGTTATTTTGAAGATCTAGTACACATTCCTAAAAAAATGTCTGACATGGCTGAACTGATGTATAATTAAACATATACATATATTATGGATCATTTATTGTTATTCTGTTTGTTTGTCGTTTAGGTAAAACTTTTACTAAAAAAAAAAAATAATAATTTGTTGTAATCAATTGTATTTAATTGTTATACATAATATTATAACAATTGAAAACACTGATTTAAATGTATAGATATAAATTGTTGTCAATGTTCATAATTAAAGATTAAGTCATGTAACAATATAGTTATAGTCACTTTTTGAATAATCATGTGATATGTACACGGAAGTAAATTACTAATACTTCATTACTATTCATCATGTAACATACTAATAGTCAAGTGTGTATTCTCAACAAATTTTTACTAAAATAGTTTGGTTGTAAAAATATAAAATAAATATACATCTTTAATTAGAATATTCAATTATTAATTTAGAATTCAATTTTACAAGTACATATAATTAACTAATTAAAATCATACAAAAATTCTATTTCATATTCACCTATATTTTCTATTAATTATTGTACAGTTAAATTATTTAACAAACTGCACATTTAAATATTATTCTTAGTAATTAGTATAATTATGTTGAATAAATTAAGCCAACATTTTCAGAATAACAAAATAGTTAAAGAAAATTATTTCTCATTAACTATGTATACAAATTTAAATT